ACCTTGGAGCAAAAAAACAAGGGAATCACCCCAATGGTTTCTCCAAGCCATTTGAGGATAGTGGTGGAGGTTTCTATGACAACCAGCTTCAAAGCTCTGCAATCAGCCCAGACGTACACCTTCTAACCTGTCCTCTGGGGATGCCAGAATAAAGCAGAGCCTCAGCCATGCCTGGGAGGGGTCCAGCCACCCTTGGGGACCAGAGGTTTAACTAAGGAGGCGGGAACACTGTCAGGACCGCCTCAGACTCTCCTCGGTTCTTGGCCCACACAGCCCTGGAACACCTTGTCCAGGGACTCAATATTATCTTGAAGAAGGCCCTGCAAACTGGGTCCCTTCTGGGGCAAACCACCTCGACTCTGTTTAAATGCTCCTAAGGAGGGCCAGCAGGTGGTGTGGTGGCTAATATGCTGGACTCCCATGTGGACAACCAAGGTTTGAGTCTCGGACATGGCAGCTTGAGTTCTCACTTTCTCTCTCTCTCTGGTCAAACTAATAATAATAAATGAAAGTAGGGGCCAGCAGGTGGATTGGTGGTTAAGTGCACTGGACTCTCTCACATGACAGACTATGGTTTGAGTCCCGGACCTGGCGGCTTGCTTTCTCACTTTCTCTCTCGTTTTCTCTGTCCCTCTCTGTCAAATTAAAATAAATAAATAGGGAACCAGCAGTTAGCGTAATGGCTATGTCACTGGACTCCCACGTAGTCGACCGCGGTTCGCGTCCCGGACCCGGTGGCTTAAAACTCACGCCAGGCACGTGTGCGTGCATGCCCAAGATCCCGAGAGGAAAATGGAGGAGAAGGGATTGCGGTGTGACCATCGCCCCTGGGGGGTGATTTCTCGCTTTCTGTCTCTATGTCTGTCTCTGTCTGACTGGCGAGCGCACGCACCCTATAGCAAAAACCTCTCCATAAATAAATAAATAAATAAATAAATAAATAAATGTATGTATGTATGTATGTATGTAAATAAAATGATCCTTTTTTTAAAAAGCTCCTGAGAAAATGTGAGAAGGGCCTGCTGTGTGACCCTAAGCCCTGGGCTCTGCATCCCCTGCCTCTGAGATCAACTTGGCTGACAGCAGCATTCCTGTCCCTCCAGGTCCCCAAGGTACACAGAGGCCTCCTTGTTAGTGTCTGGAGACACTACAGCAGGGACCTGAAAACAGGGTGTGTGGTGGTAAAAACAACACTGCGAGGCAGACCCCACGGGAGGGTTCTGGGTTTGCACTCGAAGTGGTCATGCGTGTGCTGGGCGAGCACATGCCCATGATCTGGGGCAGGGTGGGGGTGGTCTGTGGAGTCACGACCTTGTTTGTGGGTGCTATCTCTCTCTCACTCTTGTTCATGGGATTTCTTTATTTTGGAGGGGGAGAGGTTTTTTGCTATAGGGCATGTGCACTTGCCAGAAAGACACAGAAAGTGAGAAATCACCCCCCAGGGATGATGGCCACACTGCAATCCCTTCTCCTCCTGGGATCTTGGGCATGCACACACACGTGCCCAGCGTGAGTTTAAGCCACTGGGTCCAGGACTCGAACCGCAGTTAGCTACATGGGAGTCCAGCGATGTAGCCATTACACCATCTGCTGGTCCCACTTATGGGACTTTTATAAAAGCATGTGAAAACTGAGGCATGGCATAAATAAATAAATAAATAAATAAATAAATGTATGTATGTATGTATGTATGTATGTATGTAAATAAAATGATCCTTTTTTTAAAAAGCTCCTGAGAAAATGTGAGAAGGGCCTGCTGTGTGACCCTAAGCCCTGGGCTCTGCATCCCCTGCCTCTGAGATCAACTTGGCTGACAGCAGCATTCCTGTCCCTCCAGGTCCCCAAGGTACACAGAGGCCTCCTTGTTAGTGTCTGGAGACACTACAGCAGGGACCTGAAAACAGGGTGTGTGGTGGTAAAAACAACACTGCGAGGCAGACCCCACGGGAGGGTTCTGGGTTTGCACTCGAAGTGGTCATGCGTGTGCTGGGCGAGCACATGCCCATGATCTGGGGCAGGGTGGGGGTGGTCTGTGGAGTCACGACCTTGTTTGTGGGTGCTATCTCTCTCTCACTCTTGTTCATGGGATTTCTTTATTTTGGAGGGGGAGAGGTTTTTTGCTATAGGGCATGTGCACTTGCCAGAAAGACACAGAAAGTGAGAAATCACCCCCCAGGGATGATGGCCACACTGCAATCCCTTCTCCTCCTGGGATCTTGGGCATGCACACACACGTGCCCAGCGTGAGTTTAAGCCACTGGGTCCAGGACTCGAACCGCAGTTAGCTACATGGGAGTCCAGCGATGTAGCCATTACACCATCTGCTGGTCCCACTTATGGGACTTTTATAAAAGCATGTGAAAACTGAGGCATGGCCAAGGTCAGCCCCAACCTCCCTGGGTCTGGTGGTCTGGCACCAGGTCTGCATCTCTGCCCTCTCGCAGAGGGAAACAGCAGGTCAGTGCTGACAGCACCGGGGCTGGTGGCAGCAGGAAGCCTCTTACCCAGCCTCCCCCGGTGTCCCTTACCCTCCTGTCCCTCAGTCCTCCTCCCCACCAGCCCACACCCATTCCCTCTCTTCCTGGGGCCTCTGGAAAGTACAGCCTGGCACCCTTTTCCCCAAAGAATTGTTCTCTTCACAAAGGGGGAAACTTCCTGCCTTATCAGATATCCGGCTTCTTGCTGAAGCACAGACTGCATTGAAAATGTATCCCAGAAATCCCAGGCTGAAAGGTTATCATGAGGTCACTGCAGCCACCCCCATGGCGCCCCTGACTGAGGCGGCTGGGTGTGTGCCCTGCACAGGACAGACCTCGGGACCCGGCTGAGAGCCTTCCTGGGAAACAGGCCCGGTGGCCCACAGCACGTCCCCCCTCCTCCCCACGTACTCGCACTCCCTCTAAGTTCTCTTCTGCCCAGAGCAGGCGCACAGCTCTCACTGCCCTGCAACCATCGCCCTGGGCTGTGGGCTCCGACTGGGGGCCCTGGCCCCCTCGAGGGTAGTTATTCTGTAACTCCCAGGCCTGGCTAGCTGGGGGCAGTAGGTGGCCCTTTATCTGGGAAGGCGACAGAACCTCAGTCTCAGCACTCAGCAAACACAAGCAAACCACAGGCACTTCACTCACAGGCCCTCGGGCAGCGACCTACCCACCACAGGAAGTGGAATATGGGCACCGCTATTACACCCTCCGCAAGGAATCAGGCTCGGGGCCACAGACTCTGCACTGTAGGTGGAGAGCAACCAGTGCAGGTTCTAATCCCTCTTCCACCCCTTCCTATCTGTGGGGACTTGGGCAAGGGGGCCCAGCCTTTCTGACCCGTCTCAACTGTTCAGGGATGCACTTAGGGATAATGACAGCCGAGTGTTCACAGGAGTGAACAGAGACAGGGCCGGCCGAGTGACTGCCCTGTAAGCATCTCCTGCTACAGTAATGGACACTACCGTGACATTACCCAGCCTTCCCAGGCAGTGTCCGGCAAGGTCCCATCAGGAGGTTGCCATCCCTGCCCCCAAGGTCAGTGCAGGAGCCCAAGTTAAGCTGAGCTTCCCCAGAGAACGTCACCTGAGGGCACCGCAGGCACCACAGCGGGGCACTTAGAAGCGTCCCGGAGGTGATGAGAAATTAGGGGTGAGGCAGGCATGGATGGGTGGCTCAGGGCCAAGGAAGGTCGGCGGGATGGTGGCGTGCGCGGGGCCCAGAGGCGGCGGGCGAGCAGGAACTATAGATGGTGCACCCGAGAAAGTCCACACTGAACCCGGCTCTGCTGGGCACACAAGCTGCAGACATCGAACAAGGCGGGCAGTGCTGCCAGAAGAGCTGGAGGGCTCCATGGTGAGGCCCTGTCATGGCAGGGGTTCACACGCAGTCTGTCAACCGGGCCAGCACGTCCTCCACTCCGCTGCTCGGGCCCCAGGGCATACACACTGCCCTCGCAGCAGACCCGTGTGACACACTCTCCACGCACCGTCACTCGCTCTGCCCCATGGGGTGAGATCTTCCTATCACTGGTACCCATTTCACAAACAGGAAAACTGAGGCTCCACGAGGTCCCAGAGGAGCCTGGACATGCCTTCCCTGTGCCCCCAGCTCTACGAAGAGACACTGCCTTGACGTGGGACATCCCTGTCTCTGGAGTAAGGGAAGTTTCCAGGGCTAATTCCAGGTACAAGGCAGGAGTCCACAGCAGCAAGTTGGCTGCAGAAGGGGGGATTCCTGGGGCATCGAAGGAGACTGAGGTGCGACCCCACATGGGGAAGATGCCATCAGAAGGATAGCCATGGAGTGACTGCGGCCCTTGTCCTGGTACGGGGACCAGGGCATTGGACCTCCTGTTATTGCACAGAGATGGTCGTTACCCAGCAGCAGGGCTGCAGACCATCTGCCACCTCACTGAAAACGTGACCATTTTTCATGACCTCCTCAGCCAGCGGAGAAAACAGGACAGGTTCATGTGGCCATGGAGACAGCAGCAGCTGCCCAAGTGGGCGTTTTCACCGGCGGACCACGGTGAGGTCAGGCCCCAGGAGGCAGCTGAGGCAGCAAGGAGGCGGGGGGAGCAGCCAAGGGGGCTCAGTGCAACATCTAGAATCATGCTCAAGGCCAAGCATGCAGGGATCAAAGTACGTGTGTGTGGGGTGAGGGCTGTAGTGAGGTGGGGAGTGGGGTGTCCTTCACCAGAAAGGTCTCAGATCCTTCTCCAAGGGTGCAGAGAGGCCAAGCTACATCTGGGCCAAGCAGTGCTGCCATCGCTAAGCCATGCCCACACAGGTAGAGGCCGGCGGGGGCCGGCGATGCCTTGGTTCAGTCCTGCATTACACCCAAGAAGACTGAGACCCACAGGAAGTACCTGCCATGAGCCCATGTCCGGACAGTGGCAGAGCGGCTTCTCAGAGTCCACGCCAGGACAGCTATTACAGCTTGCCAGGTGTACGTAGCCTCTCCTGGAGCTCCCCCACCTCCTGCACACCCCACATCTGAGGGCAGCCCCGCCCTCCTCACCTGGAACCTGTGCACCAGCTCCAGGGACTGGCTGTCATTCTGGTCGGCCTCAAGGATGACATCAGTCAGCTTGTGGATGATAACGTCCAGGGGGCCCTGCTCCTCGAGCGGCTGGCTGAGGTTCAGCTGCAAGGCAGGAATAGACAAAGGCATAAACTTCAGTTCCCTGCCCCCAGTCTGCCAGCGAGCTCTGGGCACTTTAGCAGGCACCCCTGAACCTCCCTGCAGTGTTCCAGAGAGGGGTAGAGCGGGCGGGCACCCACAGGCATGGGGCAGGATACCCAGGATGAGTCTCTAAGACCCGACAGCTCATCCCACTCTAGCACCTGAGGGCAGGTGCTGCGCCTGTGGCTCTATTCCCCCAGCCCCATGCCACCCAGGATGTGGGAGACACACAGATGGAACCAAAGTGACGCCTGCGAGTCAAGAGAGCAATGCTGGGAAATGCCTTTATAGGAAAAGGACTTACTGAACATGTCCCATCTGTCTGACAACCTACATTCAGAACCTAGGGCTCAGAGAGGTTTAATAAAATGACTGAAGTCCCACAGCCACGTGAGCTCAGACCGAAGCAGCTACCCTTTTCACTAAGCTACAGAAAGTCTCGGCGAAGCTGTGGTCTTGGTGAGCCTGGGAGCTGCAGCTCTGAGGGAGAGGCCACTCGCACTTCACACGGGAATCCAGGCTGCAGGGCTGCCCATGACCCAGTAAGCTCGGCCCCCTCTGCACTGCTGGGGAAAGTGTTTGTTTTGTCCAAGTTCAGGGCTGGGAAGACCAGGCGCCAGGGGAGCCAGGGCTGTTGGCTGGCTGACAGACAGTCAGCATTACCTGACCCCAAGCCAGGGGCACCTGCCAACAGCGAGGGCAGCTTGACACCGCATCTGACCTGCCAGATGTCTGCCGCCTGCCACATAGCCACCACCACCTGCAAGGCCAGGCCCCTGGAGGCAGCGGCGCCGGCCTGGCACCTGGCTGACCCCTCATGTGGCCTCAGCAGGAGCCACCTCTGTCTTCATCCCCAGCCCTAGGCGGGGCTCCCTGGAGGATACAAAAATGCCACCACAACGGCTACAGATGATGGCGCCACATGGGCACGTGGGCCCCATGCTCAGAGCTGGTGTGCACGTGTTTCATTTTCTTTTCAAAGGGCTATGAGAAAAGATCTTGCAAGCGAGGAAGGCGGAGGACAGACTTTTAAGGCTGATCTCACAGCCGGGAGGCAGCAGAGGTGGGTGCAAACACACACCTAGCGCTGGGCTTGTCCTTCCGCTCATCCGCCCTGCCCGTTTTCTGCCCCTGGTGCCTGCTCTGTACCTGGAAGGCTGACCTCAGCAGCCACAAGCTCCTGGCTGCGT